ATTCGGGTCAAAACCCGAGTCAAGGAAATGAATAACCCGACCCGACGGGTCGGGTCATGCGGGTCACGGGTTATTAAAATTGTTAGTACCGACCCGATTTAAAATTCACTCGGGTTGAATTATCCGGGTTAGACCCGAATTTTGCGGAGCACTAAGTAAAATATTAAGAGCTCTTATAAGTTGGGATCAGGTCCACCGTGCACTTAAAGAGAATTTATATAGTGCGTGCACTTATAGAGGGTGCACTTATAGAGGTGTCACTGTAAATATTATAATAAAATGTATTTGTTAACAAATATATAGATGAATTTTACTTTCTATGTAATGATACAGTATATTGAAAAGTAATTATGATTTTGTTAATTACCATATTTACTAAATTAATATTTTTCCAATACTAATTATATTAAATATATTTGATATTTAAACAAAATCTTAACACTAATTTAGTAATAAAAAGATTTTAAAGATGAGTTGATGTTTATTAATTTGGATATAATAATATTATCCCTATAAAAAATTTATCCGTTATTCTGCAAAAACTCCGTAAGAATGAGCCTTTCACAGATCCATTCACGGAAAATGTAAATAAATCGATAAATTCCGTGATATAAGGTTATTAATTCCGGAAATATGAGCCTTTTGCGGAAAAAAAATGGAATATAAAAAAACGGATCGACTTTTTTTACAGGGTATATGTTAGTTTTTGAATCTATAGCCATTTATATAAATTAAAAGTACTATTTTAGAATTAGCTGATAATAATTCAATTTGAACAATAAAAGTTAATACCAATAAAATAAATTTATTTTCCAGTTAACAGTTAAGTAATGTGATAAATTTGAAAATGATCGGCAAATTTCATGTGATAAAATAGCATTTAAGCTTTACAATGTGGAATGCTTTATTTATATATGTTACAAAAATTTTATATTAGGACATAAAAACGTTAAAAAGAACATAAATAGTTATAGAATTATGAATAAAAAAGTCTGCCATGTGTAACATTATAATTTTGCTTGATATGATTTTTAAATAATACGAAAGCAATAAGGCACGGAAGTATGTATGTAATTGTTTTAATGCCCTTCGTCATGTCGAATATGTCCTGACGCAATAAATAATGTTCATTTATTGATAAGCAAAGAACTGTTAAATTAACTAAAAACAATGAACAGTAAATTCTTACATTTCTTGGAAGAGCCGGAATAGCTGGAAGTGTCGGTGGTAAGGGAGGGCGTGGAACTGGAACTGTAAGTGGAAGAGTTGGAAGTGCTGGAAGAGACGCTGGTTGAGTCGGAACAGATGTATGCTACATCTCTTGCTGCTTCATATGCGCGCTGCTTTTGTACAACAGCGTCTGCCGCCTTTTGTGCTGCTTGTTTTGCTTGCGATGACATAGTAGTACTGTAAGTTTATCTTTTATAGCAGAAAAACTAATGAAAATTTGAAAGTTTGCAAAGAGGAAGGCCAGCTATATAAGCAAATGAATTTCGAATTTAGCATTTGATTCATTTGATTCAAACGGAATTTCGGATTTAGCATTTGATTCATTTGGTTCAAACGGAATTTCGGATTTAACATTTGATTCATTTGATTCAAACGGAATTTCGAATTTAGCATTTGATTCATTTGATTCAAACGGAATTTCGGATTTAACATTTGATTCATTTGATTCAAACGGAATTTCGTATTTTAGCATTTGATTCATTTGATTCAAACGGAATTTCGGATTTAGCATTTGATTCATTTGATTCAAACGGAACTTCGAATTTAGCATTTGATTCATTTGATTCAAACGGAACTTCGAATTTAGCATTTGATTCAATGAAATAGCATTGAAATTTCGAATTTAGCATTTGATAAATGAAATAGCATTGAAATTTCGAATTTAGCATTTGATTCAAATGAAAAGCATTGAAATTTCAAATTTGGCATTTGATTCAAACGAAATAGCATTGAAATTTCAAATTTAGCATTTGATTCAAATCGAAATTTCGTTGATTCACAATATTGATAATCGCATCTTTATTAATTGTGCAACAAAGATTGGATAATCGATGACTCATGATTAGATTCGCAGAAAAGATTGGATAATCGATGAATCATCTTTTGAATTATATTATCTAAAAAATTGCAAAATTAATATTTATCAAACTATAAAAAAATGAAGTGGAATTCGACTTATGGTATGATAAAATAAAGTTGTGAATTACGAGAAGTAATTTTTTATTATCAATAATAATTATTAATAAAATTTATCTATTTGATTATCTTAATTAAATGTATTAAAATTTTTATTGCAAAATTAACACACGTAATAAAAAATTGCATATGGTAATTTTTGGGATGATTGTAAAACTCTTAACAATATTATCGTATGTTCATTTGCCATTGATGTGTTTTAACAGTGAAGAAATGATTTGTTAGGGAGATTTATTTTTGAAAAAAATTGTGATCTACTTAAACTTCTCAATCATTACTTTTCCTCGTCCACTTGCATATGACGATGAATCAATCGAAGTCCGAATCCAAGTTCAATGGAATGTACTTTGATTAAGGAATAAAATTTTTCTAAGAATTCGGTAAAGTCAGAATGCTGTTGTAAGATCTTTGAGGAGTCTCAACCTCGGGAAGGTTATTGTATTTATTTAGTGGGACTAAATTTCGTGAGTGTCGTTGTGATGATAATCATGTAAAGGAATTTTGGTTCTTTATATTTTTGTCAAAATTCAGGCCATTTTCCGGTTTATCCGAATTAAGACTTTCATTCAAACTTGGGCGTTATCTTATCTGCACAGACAAGGTAAGGTCTGGCGTTCTATTACTTGCCGAAATGATTATCAACTGTGCTTTAGACTTTAGAGCTGATATTGTAGTTTGAAGGAAATGCTGATGAAATATTGGAAACGAATGTTTCGAATGAGACAATTACGCAGTTGAGGTATAAATATTTTTGGTTGCGGTCGCAACGTAATTGGCCTTACAAAGAATAATGCTTAAACGAAAAAAAATTACGCATATGCAATTCACTATGCAAAAGTCTGCTATTAAAGATCATACATGTGCAGAGCATTTAAGGGTTTGAGTTTATTCAATGAGACCCAACTCTCGAAGATGATTTGGAATAACTATGTATGGATAATTCTCTTCGCAAAGTTCATTTTTGAGCTGATCACGCATCAACTGCTACTCAAAGTCTTCTGTAAAACCACAAGGAAAATTACCAGCACACTGTAAGCATATTTTTATTCGATAAGAGTTGTAGACCATTCATGACCTTTGGCATAACTCCAAAGCATTGGAGTAGTTGAATTAACATATTCTGAAGACATTTACCACCCCGCTCTTGTGCAATATTTTTGCTAAATCAATAATATTTCATGGTTTACTGTATTTTCGGACTGGGCACATTTTTGGCCTGGTGTGATATATCTTGAGACTGGGATATATTTTTGATCTGCTATAACACGTTTTCGGACTAGTGTACTGCACATTTGACACCAAGTTCCCTTAAGAACATCCTTTGCCGAAGCCTTCCATTTATGACTGCCATTCAAGAGGATTCCGCCAATTAATATACTCACTTTGTAAGGCAAAGACCCTCTTTTTCTCTGCAAACTTCTTCATATCTTCAATCGTTCGGCTACGACGATTATCAACTGCACACCATGGGCACCATGTTTTTCTATTTTTCACGCAATTGAGGTTTGCAGACCATAAATGATCTTTAGCATATTTCCAAAGTATTAAAGCCTTATTATAGACATATTTTTCGGAAAGACATTCACCTTCTCTATTACGCGCAATTTCTTTAGATAGAATATCTAAAGTTAATTAATATTTTATACCATTTTTTCAAAAGTGTGCGCGTGTAAATGGTCCCATAATATAAATTTTACCAAGAAAATGTTTTATTAATACAGATAAAAATAAATACAAATTTGGGACGCTAACAAAATAAATACAAAGGCCCGTAACCTATATATGGTACATACCAAATTTTCTAAGAACTATCTATAGTATCTGATTTTTCCGCAAAACTACTCAATGACCTCACCCTTTTAATTTCTCTCAATTACTCACCACTTTGAGAATCGTCCAACGGCCTCCTCTAACAACCATACAATATGTCCGAGAACCTTCTCCACCTTAGCCTGTAAATCCTCATCTTTGTATACGACGATCACTGGTTCTGATAGGTTAAATGTTGGCTTTTCCTCATTATCTAGCGAACATTCCACAAAGTATCATTCGGAACAATTCCAAACACCCTATCCACGCCCTGTCTATTTTCGCCTTGCGTTCACGTGACAAGGTTGACTCCATCTGCATTGACGCCTGGGCGAATCCTTTCATAATATCTTCTTTCTTGGCTTAGATTATACCGATGATCCCCCGATTGATACTCTATTGCATAATCGAAATTACTTTGCCCATTTCGACCTCGATAAGTTTTTCAGGTATGAGCTTGAAATTATCTTTATAGAACGAGACCCCGGAAGCCAGATAGCAGTAAGAATGAATGGACTTCGTTGCCTCGTTTGCCTTATTGAGAGGAGTAACATCCTGACGAAGTTTTATTTCTGTCACTAGATGTTCAACCACCGGCTTTGGACTTGTCGCTACTCAGGTCAGCAGAACCACACGAAAAAACAGGAAATACATCAATGCCGGGGTTCGGATCATTGCTAATGCAATAAAGCTGACACACTTTTGGGAACACCACCCTTAGAAAGCTTTTGATGGGATCCCTACGATCACGGTATGCTTGAGATTATTTTTTTAACACGAACAGCTGGAGCATTTCACGAAGGTCTTAATCATCCTAGGTGAATATTTTCTGCTGTCATTTAACATGTTAAGTACTGCATCACAGATGCTTCTAGCCCCTCTCCTGTTCCAACCTCTTCATTCTCGGGTGCTGGCGTCTTGTTATTACCAGCGGTAATGTCCAACTCACTATAAACGAAAAGTTGGTTGCTCCAACTTTGCAACATATAAGACAACCTTGCTGCTAGAAGTGCATGAACAGGACTAGGCATTTTGTATGCAATGACTTCTCCCTTAACTAAACGAACATAGATGTTAAATTTTTTCAGTTCCCTTCCCACGAAACTTGATTTATAGCGCGTATTGAGTTTTAAGGTCTTCGAGGTCGCGTGTTCGATATTTACAGTCCACTTGAAACCCTTCGTCCGTTCGGACTAATGACGACGTCAAACTCTGTAATGCAACAACCAGATTAAGACAGTGAGTAATTTGACGTGAAACATCGTTTCCGGTTAAATTTCGTTTACCTCAGGTAAGGAAAAATACATACCATGTACAGACTTGTTGAGCAATGTCTTAAACGAGGTGAGTTCGTCAATTAATTTCGCAGGCTCTAAGTGGAAGTCGACACAGGTGGTTCGACTATTACATTAATACATTCTTCGGCCAGTGAGTCAGGAAGTATTTCGAAATCTTTGTCACAAGTAGACTTGTATTGTGAGACTGTTCAAGAGATATATGCTATGTAGATATTGGCCGCGATCGTCACGAATTTCCACCTTCCATAGCTTAATGTCTTTAAGAGTCAACATTAGCGAAAGTTTGCAGATTTTTTGCCTTTATAGCTTCCTTGAGGTGGCTGACCAACTTTTCCCTATAAATATTAACAGCAGTCGTGTTTCCTTTGACGAGATAGAGTAACGTGATAAACATTTTCGATTTAAATAGTATTTTTTGCGAAATTTTATTGGTGCAAACTAGGACAAGAGTGAAAAAATTTTATCTGTGGAAAAAAAATACAAAGTGGGGGTATTTGTGATAAATTCATCTGTCGCACAGATTTGCCTTGTAACTTTTCAAGTCCATTATTTGTCGCACAGCAAAAATATCCCGAGCTGCGATAAATTATAAAATAATAGTCAATACTTACTTTTATTTTTCAGATTTCTATTTCGTTTTAGTATATATTATAAATTTATAATTACTAGTTATAAGATATAAAAGATAGTAAAGAAATATTTTAAAATGTTTTCAGTTCATTATCACGCATAAATAGCCATTTCATGCATTACAATTACGTAAGAAACTACAAAAATTATTACATTTTCTTTATTTTAATTCGTATTAGTGCTAGATCTATATTATCAAATCGGAACAATCATTTGTGAAACAGCATTAGATTGTTTTGAATGAACGTAATTAGTATCTAATTGAACGTCTTCTGGAATAATTGGATTTAATCGATACAATCGGATAACTACTTGGTTTATTTTCGGGCGTTTATCTAGATTATAATCCCAACACTCTGAAAAGAAAAATAATAATTAATTTTTTAATAAATTAAATAATTTTTAAATCGTTAACATATTTTACCAGTAAAAATATTTTTATAATCTTCGGGTGTATTAGGAATAATCTCTTCTCTAAGACCACTTATAATATTCAATTTTAAAGAATTTATTTGATTTGCTTTTACTTTTTCAAAAGGTGGTCGACCGCTTGAAATCTCCCATAAAAGTACACCAATACTATATATATCACTCTTTTTGTTTGAGTGATACGCATAATCATTAAGTTTTTGAGGATCAATATAAGGGAGTACACCAAGTATATCCGAGTGTGCTTCAGATACATCTTCAACTCTTCTTGATAATCCAAAATCAGCCAATTTAATGGAATTTTGATGAACTAATATGTTTTTGGAATGCTAATAATAAATTAAATAAAATAAATCAAAAATGAAAAAATAATTAATAAAACAATTATAAACGAACCATAAAATTATTCAATAAAATAAATTACCAAATCATGGTGTATAATTCCTTCATCATGTAAATATGATACGGCACTAGATAATTGGTATGCCAATTTGAACTTGAATTCCCATGTAAGATTTTTATTTTTTTCCAAGTATGAACGAAGGGTACCACTATCAGCATACTCCATTACCAATAAATAATTATTTTTTTCTAATATTAAAGGAACAATCAATTTTTTCATTAATGCATTTACTATTAAGTTGAAAAAATACATATTTTTAAGGATTTATATACCTTGAATTACAGTTCCAAAAAAGTGAATAATATTTTCATGAAAGCTGACTTTATGATGAATTTTAAACTAAAATATAAATATAATAATATATTAATAAATAATTTAGTATTAAAATATTATTTAAAATTACAGAAGTTACCTCATTGACGATTTCTTCAATGTTCTCAGCGATATTTAGATTAAATGATTTTAATGCATATTTCACCGCTGAATTTTTCCAATTTGCACAATAAACCTTTCCGTAGTAACCAAAAGCAATTTTTTTAATTTCACTAAAATCTTCGTATTCGTAACGTTTAATAAGATTTTTGGAAATTGCATCTTCGATCCAATTATTAGCAACTCGCATTTCGGTGTAATTGTTTATGTTAATAAAATAAAATATACAGAAAAAATGTCCGTTTATATAATTGTTTATATGTAATTGCCAATTATCCTATTGGTTTATTAGACTTGTTAGAATGTTCATATTCCTTATCCCACGAATAATTAATAAAATATTACCTGAATTTACATTGATGTACTGTACGGTACGGCCTCACCCATTTATTTCTAAATAAAAATTTCGGAGTCCTTTTATAAATTTAGGCTGGGTCCCATAGAAGAACAGATTTATGTTTGTACTACCAGTAATTTCGCTCGTTGATCAAATATATATAAGATGGGGTGCATTTCAAAAGAAAAGATTCGCGACTGCGCGTAATCATTATTTATTTACTCTTTACCTTTCTTAATACAAATTAAATACACTGAGTCCTCTGACTGTTAGTAGCGAATATGCCGTATTAAAGTTGTAATACGTAAGTTGTAATTGACTTTATCCCATCGGTATTATGTATACACCGATGGATTTTTTTGTAAATTACTATACCAGTATAAGAAAAGTATAAAAAAGTATAAAATCCATCGGTGTATACGTCGTACACAATGACATAAGCTTGTTATTCATGGATATCTAATAAATACTCCATATACACCGAGTATTGCAACTATTTCGAGCATTTACACCTATTTCAACAGTTTCACCAATTACGGCATAAAGTTACGACTTTACTACAGCCTTTACAGTTATTATGACAGACAACACCATAGACAAAGTATTATGTACAGTAAGTACTACTGATCGAATATTGAATTCTATCAAAAAGCAGCAGATTTAGGACATAATAAAGCTCAATATAATCTTGCACTTATGTACAAAGATGGAGAAGGTGTAGAAAAAGATTATAATAAGACTTTTGAATTTTCTAAACGATCAGCTGAAGGAAAATATTATAGAGGAGTATTACAATTAGGAATTTGTTACTATGAAGGAATTGGCACTAGTGTCAATAAACAAAAGGGATATGAATTAATTCAAGAAGCAAAAATTTTAGAAAAAAGGAGAACAAAGTGAAATATTGAAGAGCAAGTATGATATTTTCGACATTTACTTCTATTAGATAAAATTTTGTATAATGATAAATAAATCAATATATTTTATTTCAAGAGATAAATAATTTTTTATTTAATCTTAGACTTTTTTTCAGCAAACATTATTATATAAAAAAATGCACCCTTTATTCTGTAATGTACAGTTGTACACTCGTTAAACAACATAACAGGGCGAATTTGCCGATCATTGGCTGATCGTTTATTTGACGTTATCACCAGTGACTATTTTTTTATATAATGGAAACTTTTACATAAAAATTCTACAGATTACAAGCTAACCTTATTCCAAAAACGTAATATACAGTATATTTTTTGCAAAAATCGAAATATTATTCGGATATAAATAGTGATTTAGCATTATTTATAAATCTCATACCATTAATTTCGCAGCAAAAATTTAATTTTATTGCACAATTTAGAAATTTAATGGAATTAAATTTTGTGGCATTAATTTATTAAATTTTTAGGAATTAATAGTAGAGAAAAAAATAACTAGAGGGAGGCGAGATCATGAGAGTGATTGTGACAGCTTAAGTCCTTCAATGGTAGTAGTGGAAACACTAGAAGTTTTTAGGGTGGGGGACTTGTTCACCTCGTACCACTTTGAAAGTTCCAGGGAAAACTTATGGTACAACTTATTAATTTCATATTTAATTCGATAATGAAAATCCTGTATTATGAAACGGATTACTGTATTATTTTTACTATAGATTGATTGTATATAATGTAGGGAATATTTAAGTTTCGCGCGTATTCACCTTCGTTCATCAAATTTTTATCCGATGACCCCATATCAATCACATATGATTTAATTAATATATTTTGTTATATAGGATTTTTATATAATGAATTTCATAAATATTTTACCAAGTTATTTAAAAACGTTCATCATTTTTCGTGATCAAAAGAAGCCGTCAGAATCACGTGATAACCATATTACTCAACTACGTGTATATCAAGTTCCCTAATATTTTACACAGTTTGAGTTTAAAATGGCCCATTTTTTTTAGATGCACAGATCGAACAACTTCTTCTTTCTCAAATATTTTCACACTTATTTCTCCAAACCATATTTACAAAGTTACGAAGCCTTTTTTTACATTTACTAGTAAGTTATTTTGAACTTTTACCTTGAGGTCTGATTTTTTATTATTATTATTATTAATGCAAGAAATGGCCTGTTAATAAAGTCGTAATACTTAAATCTTTATATTTTTTCTCAAAATACAGAATCGTTAAAGCCGCACATCTAATTGAATATAAATATATAATGGGTAATCACAAATTACATTATAGAAATTAATTGATATTATTGTCATTATATTTAATTTCATTATTGTAATATTAAAATTTTAACTTACATTGTAAAAAAAACCTTAATTAATAATTTTTATTATAATAACTTCATACTTTAGATTTACATAGTTGACGTGGGGTCGTGGGGTGAACTCTTACTTATTAAACCCGTGATTCGACACGCCAAAGATCTGGTGTCACATAATCTTTATTGGCTTTTAACGTCATATAACAGTCCATTTCGGAAGAATGCTTCTAAACAATAAAAGTTTTAACACAAGGCAAGAATGATTCAAGGGTACAGTTTTTTTTTTAATGAATATTTATTGCAGTCAAACAAAAAAACAAGTGAAAATAAAGTCACATTCAGATTGATTTAATATTTTACTTAATTTTATTACCAAAAATACAGAAAAAATTTTATATAAAATAATAGTACATTAAAAATCCAAGTTAATTAGATTATGCGACGATTGACGTATTTAATAAAATAATAAAGTTTATTTTGTAATTCAAAAAAATTTACAATTTTTTTTTTAAAAAAGAATTAAAATTCATTGATTTAACAAAGGACCAATAATAACAAACCTAATTATATAAAATGTTAAACCAAAGAATCCCCATTATTATTAATACATATATTACGCTAAAGTAAAATTTAAAGACGGAAACCAATTATATTGCTATATTGCTCTTTATTTGTAATCTTTATCATGTTTTTTATTATCATGTTTTTTATTATAGTCATTACCGTAGTCATCGTAGTCATTATAGTCATTGTTATAGTTACCGTAGTCATCGTGGTCTTTCTTCTTGTCGTTATCATTGGGAGCAGGTGAACGTTTATATTTTTGTTCTTTGTTATCGTGCTTGTCGTAGTCATTATCCTTCTTGTGATCGTAGTCATTGTCCTTCTTGTGATCGTAGTCATTATCCTTCTTGTGATCGTAGTCATTGTCCTTCTTGTGATCGTAGTCATTGTCCTTCTTGTGATCGTAGTCATTGTCCTTCTTGTGATCGTAATCATCTACATACGGATTATAATAAGGGTTGTAGTCTTTGACGTACGGGTTATAGTATGGATTATAATCCTTGTTATCTTTGTGATCGTAATCGTCATTTTTCTTCTTGTAATCATCGTTATCATTGGGAGCGGGTGAACGTCTATGATATTTTTGTTTTTTGTTATCGTGCTTGTCGTAGTCATTATTATCCTTGTGATGATCGTAGTCATTATCCTTGTTCTTGTGATCATAGTCATCTACATACGGATTATAATAAGGGTTGTAATCTTTGACGTACGGGTTATAGTATGGATTATAATCCTTGTTATCTTTGTGATCGTAATCGTCATTTTTCTTCTTGTCGTAACCATTGGGAGCGGGAGAACGTTTGAAACGATAACCACCATGTTTATTTTTTTGTTTTTTATACTTGTCATCATAATCATTGTCATAATCATTGTGTTTATGATTGTGTTTATGATCGTGTTTGTTGTAATTATCTACATGTTTATTATCTTTATAATTATTATCATTATTAGCAGAAGTAAAAGCTACCATGGCTAAAAAGCCAAACACGAAAATAGTCGATTTCATTTTTATCTATTAAACTTTCTTTTTGATAAGAGAAGTGAAGAAACACTGAAAAAGAGGGAATGGAAGGGTATTTATACTTAAAATTTTCCTGATCCGTTAATTACTAATCATAGGAAAGTCTAACGATAATTTCCCAAATTAGAAAGATATTTAAAAAAAAAAATTAATTAAGATCAAATTGTTCAAAGATAAATTGTCATAAAAAAGGTCAAATCATACAAAAAAAAAATATTTTCGCGGGAAAACCCATGATTGATCGACAAGTTATTTTAATTTTTTTTATATTAAAAATTTTTTTGCCAAGTAAAAAAAAAATGAAATAAAAATAATTTTTTTTAAAGAACTAAAAATTTAGTAAGTTTTTAGCTCAAATTAAGTATTTTTCATACAAAATGTTTATTTTATTAAAATTGTTATCAATGATGTAAACAAATTTTCATATTTTTCCTGATAATCAACAATGAACTATACAAATAAAGGAATTTCATTCAAAGGATCGAACTTATTGAAATTGGTAAATCATTTCCCGTTATTCCGGTACTCCGTAAAAAAATTTTCCCCAGATTTTTTTTTATACTTTTTAGTTCATTTTGTGTCACATAATGTTTTTTCTATTTATAAAAAAATTCTCAGGATTCTAATAACTATATTTTTGGATTTAAAACAATATAAAAATTTCGTCATGATTTTTAATAAAAAAAAAAACTGTTATATGAAAAAATAAAAAATTATTAATTAAAAATAGATATACTGGGCTGAGTCAAAAATTGTTATTACTTTTGAATTACGATCTAAAAAAAAAAATTTTACATATTCGCGTAATTTTATGATTCATGTGAAGTACTGGATCGATAGGGTGGGAATCTCGTGTTACAATTATATATATATTTTTTAATATGTTAACCTTTGGATAAATTAATATTAATATTCTTAATATATATTTTAATTAGAGGATAGGAAATATGATACTTTATTTCCGTGATATTACATCACATCAAAAAATAACTAAGCCTAATATTTAGCGCAGTCGTAAAAAAAAAAAAAAAAAATTCACTGGCTGAATTTTTTTGGGCTGAAATTCAAAATTCTTTTAACTAAATTTAGATATGGAGATCAATAATGGGATGGCACAATCTTGCCCAGAGATTTTCATTCTTTTTCTATTATGATAATGAAATTAAATTTACCAAAATTAAATATATTGTAACTGATTCTATTTCATTCACGAGAAGTTAATGACATAAGACATACCTTATTTAATTTTATTAACAGTTTTTTAAAGTACGTAATAATGTAACATTCTAGCATCAATGATATTACAAAAAGTTCACATGATAAAATGTCTCAATACTTGGCTTTTTTTAATTTATCTGATTTTGAATCAATGAGATTATTATATTAGTAAATTCCATTGTCAATACGAAAGTAGTAATAATCTCACAAAACATAATAACTATTTTTATGTACAATTTTTTTTTTTTTTTCAAAAAAAATAAAGTTTGCCCGATTCTTAAGAATCAGATTACTACATAAGAATTAAATCATCATAAATTTTCTTCTTAAAAAGAATTACTTCTTTTTTTAATTCTTTTGAATTTGTGTAAATTTCTCACACTAAAAAAAGAAAATTCATATAAATATTCTATTGACTCTAAAAAAAAAAAAAAAATGTTATAATTAGATTTTGTGTCCATCATGAATTCATTTCTCACGAGAATGTAAAACGTTATTTTGTAAATGCGATATCAATAACGGAATGATCAACCTAGAAGAAAAAGGGTTTCGTCTTATTGGAGTATTGGACGAAATATGTTTGTTATACTTGCACACAGAATTGTGCTTTGATTTTCTTTATCACAAACAAATAAATGAAATTAATCGTGATTCACACAACATTTTTAAATTCTCAAATTTATGGTAGCGTTGGTCGAATTTAGGAGAAGTTTCGGAGAACCATTCTGATAAACTAGAACCATCGTTTGGAGAGTGATTTACTACAAGTGATGTCATTTTTATTACCATTTTCCTCAAAATGCTTATCGTTATAATATAAGAATTATATCCTCATTAATCATTTGGTCAAACATTTCTAAAAATTAACTTCATATTTCTTAAAAAGGTGTGCTTACCTGTTACTTAAACCTGCAACTTTAGCTTCTACACCATCGCTTGCCGATTGATCCACCTGTATCAAAGATCGTTGTAATTTTGGCTAAATTTGGCCGACATTTAACTTGGCCAGAATTAACAATAATTTATCCCTGAAATTTATCCCCGTGATTTCCCGAGATTAACCAAAATTTATCTGCGCCATATGCTGTAACACACTTTATTTACCAAATTCGACTTTCCTATACGGAAAATAATTAACCTTGAAAGCTTAACATTAAATCTAAAAATAGTACATTTTGAATCGGGATTTTTTGTTAATAGGAGGATCGTACATTGTAATCATTGAAATTCAGTACAAGAATACCTTTAAAAAATATTATTATAATATAAATCGGAGTAATTCATCACGAAATGAGCATTAACCACAAATAGCAAAAGCCTTCTGATATCCATAAATAATTTTCACCGTGATAATAATAGTAAAAGTAATGTATGAATCAAGCGTAATATTTTTAATCAAATTATTATGGACTTATGACTCAAAGGACTCTCAAATTCATCGTTTATGAGGTACTTTACGTAATATTATTATATTGGTTTGGCAATGATGACAAGTACTTATATTACTCTTTTATTAGCCTAGCGACTTTTATTAACTAAAGATTGATTATATAACAAATCCTAATAATATGACCTGCCCTTTGAGTGAATATACAAGCTTAACTAAATACAATGCAAAACCTTATGGAAAGTCTCACGTGACTTCAATCAAAGATCCGCCAATTATTTAACTCATGATTTAAATTTTTAACGGTATAAATTGCTGCGCATAAAATTTTTATAAAAAAAAATATATATTTATTTGAAACTAATTCCCCTTTTCTGATCATCACTTCGACTATTTTGATTTTGATTGCATTAACATAATAAATGGAAAAGAATTTTCTAACCTCGATGCCAAAAGTGGCTTCCAACCCTATAAAAAATTTTTTAAGTTAAAGGTTTATGAGTTTGAGAAGTTTGAAAGGTTTTATAAGTTTGTTTGTTTTTAAGCTTTGTTATGAGGTTTTAATTTCACCAGTGATATATACTACCAATATCGGTCGTAAGTTGTCCATATCAGCCGCAGCAGTGTCATCACCAGTAATACTATGAAGCTTTTCCCATGAAATTTTTTATGGGATAACCATGTGTCTGGAACTGTTGTACTCCTTTCTATTATTTTATTGGCCAAAACCAAAAGTATAAGATTTCGCTTAATATAGAGACTTATAAGTACTAGCGATTTTTTTAGCTGATCTTAATTAAGTTTTTAATCCACATCTCTTCATCCCCCTATTGTTTTATTGTTTTCAATTTTGTTATAATATGGATCAATGTTAGTAGACGTTAAATTTTACTTGAACATTATGTTCTCTTAAGAATACTTCGGTATGTTTTATTTTATTCATACCTTAATTTTTGCGGGAAAGTTGGCTGAACTTCCATGTACTGTACCTACTCCTACATACTTTATATCTTACTGAAAAGGAGAAAAGAGATATAGGGCGTAATTAACGATATCATCTGATGCCAAGAAAGCTTTGAAGGCACATGAGTATGGAGTTTTCATACCTTTTCACATGGGAAATCTACCTGTAAGACGCAAAAGTTGGACAAATGGAGATCTCAAAATTGCAAAGTTCTCAGCCCTTCCTAACATATGCTTTTATCGTCGCTATTCACTTATGTGGCAACCTCTGTACCGCAAGTAAACACTCTTTTCACATTTTTCTCTCATTTATTTGGGGAAAAATAAAGAACAAAGGTTAATCCACTTTTTTTTTCAAATATGCAAAAATCCAATATGTTGCACAGACCTGACCCTGTGGAACTGAAGATCAGCACTCTGGGTTGACGCAATGTGCCAATGTCTGATCACCACTCCGGAGTGTTTGACCAAACTGATCGTGATCGGTATAATCCTAAACGCTTTGCAAATTCTTCTGTAATAATTATGACATCTGAACTCGCGCCTCTATTTGGGTTACCCCTGGCTGATTGATACAATTTTTATTAACAGTTATAATTTTCAGAGGAGGAGGCTTGTAAATTTGATATAAGGCCTGTTTGTTTAGCCGATCTTTGACCTTTGACCTCTGCAAAATTCTTTTGAGCTGTTGATCTCCTCTCTGGATTGGCATGGATCTGATTGATAACAAAAAGACGTTGTCGATTAATAACACGATATATATGATCTACGATATAATTTTTAATCATATTTACAAAATCAATCGCTGTTTCTTTTTTTTCCTAAAACATTTCTACCGTTATATCAAGAGGATGATTATATCCAAATTTTATTAAAACAGAATTCTTATTTTCTAATTCGTTAATGAACACATTTTTAAGGTGATCTTTACAGAGCTTGACAACATCGTTACATCTCTTCACCTCTGAATAATATTCTGTTATTGAGTCTTCGCCTTGAAGCAACAACCCACATCGGAATTTTTCTATCTCATCTGTATTATCTTCGGTCATCTGTATCATCACCATCCGGCCATATCTCCCATCGAAGTTCATGCGGATAATATAGCAATTCTATCAGTTCAAATTTTGTGAAAGATAAAAAGCATCGGATTGTAGGAATACACGGAATAATGACGTTGAATTTTTTACATTAGGCAGGCTATAGGGAAGGTCATATAGAGTTAGTACTTAGTAGAGTACTTAATTTGTAGGGTACCAGGAAATTATGAAATAGCTGTCTTACTCTACCATGGTTACCGTATACAAATTGCTTAAGCGTTTCCTCTCTCCAACGCCTAACTACCTTTGGTTTTGATTTCACAAAAAAGTTCATCCCGTTCGCTCCAGTCGTAAATAGTCCAATCTGAGTCTCTCTGCCCATTATTCTTTGATAAATTTATTGAAGGCTTCCTTTTTCTTGGCATCTATACCTCATCAAACATTTGCTAATAAAAAAATAAGCAGACATCTGATTGATAATCACCGCTTTGCACAGAACCCACTGATATAATCGTTAAACCCGGCTAAGGCCAAAATGGCTGAATAGAGTTATTACATACAACTTAAATTCCTAAATAAAGAATAAATATATTTTTAGTTATATTTTGATGATAGCCATTGTTTATACATTTTTTTACACTTAGTACAATTATGTCTGTGTAATTTATTATATACGTATTATTAGCTTTTACACATTTATACACAAAAATTTTTCCTAAATCCAATTAATTATAAAGATATCATGAATGTAAAAAACGGTATTATCTTTTTTTTTTTAAAAAAAAAAAAGCTACATATTACAAAATAACATAAAATTACTAAGTCAATATAAATGTAATCTCAAACAGAATGAGAAACGAAAAAGAAAAAGATAGTTATATCTATAATTGAAAAGGAAAAAGTAAACAACATGAATAAAAAAGAAAAAAAAAATAAACCAAAAATAAAACTAAAAAGAAAAGAAAAACTCTATAATTGAAAAGTTCTATTTATCTGTCTATGGGAGTAAAAATCTCACATCTTCAACTGCCCTTCAGAATTACCCTGATTAATAGTCATAATTGCATAAGTAAGAATTCCACCTGGTGAAAACGTCAAGACACTTAGTTTAAGGAAAAAATGAATTGATATATGCCCTACAAAATTTTCAAAATTTTTTAGTCACTATCACCTAATACCATATGAGGTTTACCATCCTGTTAATTATGCATAAACAGGGAACCCAGGACACCTACGTGGCCATCATAGGATCTATGGCAATCTCATATAGTATTCAATAACAACAACTAAGTAAGTATGACATAGAAATATGTGTCATTTCCACGGGCACCACGGCCTGCCCTCCCATATGGATCGGCTTGGGGATCACCTATGTGGCATCATTGTAGCTACGACTTGTGCACAAAGCAGATGACTACATAGCCAGTAGCAAATGGTACGTACTACGAGCACATAAACCTCTATGTCAATCATAACAGTCCACCATCCGGAAGACTTTCTGCGAACCCTCCTCCGGTGAACACGTACTCGTACGTCCATCCGGCAAACTGTTATTTATACTCACCATTTAATGATATGACCCAGCCTCGTTTAGTGTTAGATTGTCCTCTATCGCAAATAGATACCAAATTTGGCATTATCTTAAATGTACCGTTTCCGTTGATCCGCCTAAAAAGAATCAAATGTGTGATAGACAGCAGAAAACATGTAAAAAGAACCACAAAAGCGTCTAGACTGACAAGAGTAGTTGGAGTGGTTTTTCACTTACAAAACAAGTTTCCAATAGCTAGTGAAACTCGTTACCCATATGTTGTCCAAAGGCAGTTCCGCCAGTAAATACAGTTCTTGATGTTGACATATATATTCTTTCCGTCTTAATATTTATTTGCGTGAAATATTTGCGCGTGAAAAATATTTATTTACGCGTGAAAAAAGTCTATTTACGCGAGATATTTATTTGAAAAGAAAGTATTATAAAAAAAGTATTTAGTTGTGTCTGAAGGAGTAGTGAAAGAGATGGAGGAGAGATAAAAAAAAAAAGAAAAAGAACTGTATAAATATTATTTTTTTTGTTGTACAAGCTTTTCATAAAAGTACATAATCATATAAAAAGTATAAATGATATCAATACAGTATTTGTAGCTTTTAATTACCTAATCATGACGTATTTTAATCATATGAATAATTAAGTAATGTTAAACTGGACATGATTGGATAAGATAATGCGCAGTAAATTTATTAGGCAAGTGTGGATCAATGTTTGATTCGTCAGAGTTTTTTAAATAAAGTTGCAACTTTATCTACAGATAAATAACTGTTGCGTCCTTTAGCCATCTAAAAAAAGAAGAAACAAAACGGTAGTAAGTATTTCGTTAAAAAAATGGTTTAAAAAAAAAATGCTCAAGTTCCCACATACCTTCAAACTCATCTAGAAAAATTCCTGAGTTCCAGCAGTATTCCAGCCGATTAACCAAAATACCACGTCCTGTTTCTTCTTATCTTTGTTTCTTAATCTTTTCAATAACTTCTTGATATTTCTGTTAATATAAGGGTTAGGTGACGAGAATATCTAAGGCCAAGTATTTAAGCTGGTTATTCACCAAATTCCCATGCGTCTAGACCGTCTAAAAAAAGAAAGTTCAAACTGTTAATAAATATTTCGTTACTGTAAAAATAAAAAAATAAGTAAACCTAGTAACCTACCCACTAAATTCCAACACGCTTAAAGGCCAAAATGAGACAAACTCTAAAAAAATGAATTAGTACTAAAGACGAAAAAAAATAAAATAAAAAACCCAAAAATTTACTTACATTTCATAAGAGATCGCTAAAACAAAATGTAACCTAAAAAATAAATTTTTAGTTAAGAAAAGTGTTTAATTTAGGTAAAAGAGAAGGATGAAAAGCGGGAGAGAGGAATAAAAAGAGAGGGAAAAGGGAAAGAACGAAAAAAAGGAAAAAGGAACTATTTAATAGATCGATCACGTGATACACGTGATACATAATTTTAAGGTTACACCACGATTTCCCGGACGTTTGCCCGAAAACTTTGACCAGCATTAAAACTAATGTAGGCCAACGGTGTCGGGCAAACGTCCTGTCGGGAAAATGAATGTCGGGATTTTGTCCGACATCGAATAATTTGTATATCGCATTCAATATTTTGCTCGCGAATCCTGAACAAAAATTACATGCACAATATTTTGCAATAAATTGTCAAATAAAATTTCTATTTTTGCGCAAAGAATTAACAATTTAAATACTGTACAATATATTGCACAATATTGAAATTATTGAGCAATAATGTACAATATTGAATCCTCCAAAATTTAGTGATGCAAAGTAAAAGAATCTAATATTTTGTACCTCATAATTCAAAATTCAAAATTTTAAAAACTGCAAATATCAACAAAATAAACAGTTTTTTATTTTATGAAATAAAATTACATTTTTTTTGTACAGCATTAATACTTAAAAGAAAAACATGTTTTGTTTCGTTCTCGTAAAAAAAAAAAAAAAATTATTTTTTATCACATTATAAATGCCAAGATTAATATAAAAAGGAGTACAACTTGCATATAGTTGCATATTTTGATGGTTCAAAATTCATGCACGAGGTGGGTTGCAACACGGATACTTGCTTATTAAGATGATGTGCAACGATAGTAGCTAATTCATTTATCGAGTGAGCAGACATCGGGATGCTAAAACAAGTCCTTCGGTACACTCCGGACTAATTATAAAGAGATATGCAAGGAGAGTGTTACACATCTATTTATCTATTCGATAATATGACAGCTATGGTTCAATCACTATTTAATTTTTTCTTTTCTCGGCTCAAAAACACGAACACGAAAAAAATAATGTAAATTTTGATTGTTTATTATTTGTCAAATAGGGGATAAAAGAAATCAATTTATAAAAATACTATATACTAGCGAAGTGTTTCACCCGGTGAATTCTGAAACCTCCGAAACCCTAATTCTTTCTTTCTAAGTTACGTATTACACCTAAAAAGATGATTCAGAGTATGAAATGGGCCATCACTACACCTATAACAGCCAAAACTATTACGCTACGATTACAAATAATGGTGGGTATTTGAACATTATCGCTGGCTCCATTAGCTATAATAGTGGTATTATTATTGTTGTTATTATTATTACTATTATTATTATTATTGTTGTTGTTGTTGTTGTTGTTGTTATTGTTGTTGTTATTATTATTGTTGTTGTTGTTGTTGTTGTTATTCTTATTATTAGGAAATGGTCCTTGTGGGTCTTTACTTGCACTAATAAAACACATATCCTGAAATCCACAACCGGGTTCATTAGTGTGTATTTTAAATTCAGTTCTTCCGGTATCTTTAGGTATAAATGTAGCGTTCGGTTGTTCATCCGTTAATATTGCATGAACTAATTGTAGAAAAAAAACCCATGTTTTAAAAGAAAATTAATAATGATAGCATAATTGACGAGAAAATGTATAACATTTTTACTTACAAGAATCAGGTCTTTCGGATTTTGTACAATGATCATATTCATCGAGTACAAACGTCTTAATACCTATTCTTATAAATACTATCTAATAAAAAAAATAATAACATTATTTAAAAGAATTTATTGCATGTTGATTTAAATGAAATAAAACCTACAGGCTCATCATAATATGCACCAACGATCGAGGGGTCAAACGGATAATAACCATCTCCAACTTTGACATCTATTGCATTACCATAATTAATTGTGAAAACCAAGATAACCAAAAAATAAATAATATTATTATTTTGAGACATTCTTTTTTAAAACAAGAAAAGAGTTCGAAAGTATTGTAAGTAAATGAATGTGCATTATATATATAGAGATAATTCGTACTTCGTTGACGGATGTACTTGTACTTTTATTTTACTATGTAAGGTAAATTGGCAAATTTTCAATGTAAATGTGAACTTAGTGTAAAATGTAACTTAAATAATTGCTTTATAATATCAATATATTTAGGTCGTACGGTCACTCGTACCATCAATAGGATACACTACTTTACCCCCTTCGAAATTTCTTTCTTCACCCACAAATATTACGAGGTCATTATCATTTTGCAAATATAAATCTGTACCAAGAAATCTGACTTTAAACCCTTCGTTACTAATTTCGGTTCCTTAAATGATTGTCGCGATCGCTACCTTCCATAGCTTGAATTTGTCCGCGGAAAAATTCTTTCTTTAGTTCACTAATAGGGCTCATCCCTACTTACTTTAACAGAGAAAGCGTTCACGGTTGTATTACCTTTGATGAGACAGAATAAATTGATAGACATAGCGCAAAGTAAAATTATTTGCGAAAAAATATTATATACAATATTAAAATTAGCATTAAACATTCTTCCTAAAAGTTTGGTGAAGCCATTAACTTGCATTGCAAAGGAACCTGAAATACATCAGAACTAAATTGTTAGTCTAGTTGCAGATTTTAAATTACGATAAATATTATTTTGTATCATACTGTACATTCAACATATCAGCATTAATGGAAACTTATATGGATTTTCCGGAGTCGTAATCGATATATATTTTTCCTTATCATGTAATAAAATATTGAAGAAGCTGAAATTATTATCTTGACTTCAATATTCGTCCTACTCCAATTCAGAAATTTCACAATGCAGATTTATCTCATATTTTCAAAGATAAGGAAAAAATGAACTGATATATCATATATGCCCTACAAAATTTACAAAATTTTTTAGTCACTATCACCTCATACCATATGAGGTTTACCACCCTGTTAATTATGCCTAAGTAGGGAACCCCCAGGACACCTATGTGGCCATCATAGGATCTATGGCAATCTCATATAGTATTCAATAACAACAACTAAGTGCCATAACATAGAGATATGTGTCATTTCCACGGGCACCACGGCCTGCCCTCCCATATGGATCGGCTTGGGGATCACCTATGTGGCATCATTGTAGCTACGACTTGTGCACAAAGCAGATGACTACATAGCCAGTAGCAAATGGTACGTACTACGAGCACATAAACCTCTATGTCAATCATAACAGTCCACCATCCGGAAGACTTTCAGCGAACCCTTCTCCGGTGAACTCGTACTCGTACGTCCATCCGGCAAATTGTTATTTATACTCACCACTTAATGCTGTTCCGCTTTGAAGATATGGAAGGAGTTTTGTGTGTAAGTTTGCTTTCGGTAAGAAAGAAGTTTTTTGTTTATAAAATAGTTTAAGAGGAATAAAAAGACCTCTCACATATATCGTAAAAGTTTTGGTGGACCTGGCCGCCTAGAGTATTTGGGTGGAGTATTTGGGTCATCTCAAGTAGTTGGTTCGGATATATATTAGAGAAATTTAGAAATAATAATAAAAAAAAAGGAGGTAAGGCCTTTTTATATATTTTTTTGTAGTACAAACTTTTTACAAATTATGTAATTCGCAATGACCCATTACTGCACTACGCCTCAATCAATCACAATATAATCAACATAGTTACCGATCAATCTATCAATAATTGTCGCGTATTTCTATATTAATTTTCGCGTATGTCGCGTATGTCGCGTAACAAAAATGTCGCATAACTTAACACGGAATTTCATGTACACTCTCATTTTGTAAGTTATATTAATAAATACAGTCAAACTCCGATATAACGATATGTTGAAGATCATTGAAAAATTCCGATATATCAAATTATACCGATATTTACTCTCATATAGTGAGAAAGTAAAATTTAATATATACTGTATATCGGTATATCGAATAACGAATAACAGGTCTTGACTATATTAATAACATTTCCGTTTATTTCGTTTATTTCTGGTTAATAGTACTATTATTTTTTAAAAAAAATCTTAATTAAACATATACAAATTATTTAATTTAAATAGGTATCTTTATGACGTGTTGACATAGCTAAAAAAAAAAGTTTCAATATTACTGATCGTTCCTATTACTTAGATCATCATATTATTATTATATATTGTTTATCATTACTGCAAAAACACTTGAAAAAGTAATAATTGGGTGTCGGAGAATTATTACTCTAAATCCGACCTTAGTCGTGCAAATTTAAAACCCTTATATGGAAGGGTGGAGGGTCAAATTCTAAATATAGATTTAAACTTTTTCAACTCCTCCATTTTCCTTTCCTAAAATTCTTCAATTATATACTACGATATGTCTTTTTTCAGTTGGTACAAAAATCATTTATTCCGTAATGAAATAAGAATTTAATATTATTATAAATTTGAATTTATTCAGGAACATTATTTGTTACAGGAAATATTATAGCACAACAATTTGTTAAACCAAGAGGGTTAAAATCTCATAATTTTTATAGAATTTTAAGACTTGGAGGATTTGGTTTATGTATAGGCAGTATAGCTGTAAGCATTATTATTTAAAGATGAAAAATTTTATTTCTAAAATTTTTTGTAATAAATTAAATAAGGGCCCATCCACAGCTATCTGGTCTTTATTTAGACCGGTTTGCTACTGTTACCAAAATTTTTGCTTGAGATAGAATTAATCAAAGATTATTGTTAGGGTTGCCCATGAAAATAGTTGAAGATCGAACAAGTCACATGATATAGTACACAGAAATCCTATGATTATGGCTGAGTTTATTACAATATGAAACATTACTTATAATATAATTTAGTTTTATTAGTTATTTACATTAATTAACCACTTTTAGTATTATTAGTACTTTTGACTCATAAGTATTCAATTATAAGTATCAGTTTAATTATTATAACCTTAGAAAATTGCTTTATTAGTTTAGCTAGAGAAGTTTCTTGAACTTTACATAGTTGATGAATCATATAGACACATAGAACTTATACGAAATA